AATCAATGAGACTTTGGCCGTTTGCATTGTAAAAGGTATAACTTCCTACTTTATCTCCTGAAACCCGGCCATTTAGTATACGTAAACCAGACGCTTTGCATAATTCAAGGAGTCTACGACCAAATCTATTTACAATGTGATCCATGCTATTACGTTTAACTGTTGTTTCATCATTCTTGTAGTCTATTATAGACTCCTCCAGAACAATACCAGGTTACCAGTTCGAGCGTTTAAATCGCCTACGATATATACATCTCCAGAGGTACTGTACTTAGCGAAGGAATCTTCAAGACGTTGAAAGAGATCTACATCAGTATAGTCGTAAAACACGCTATTTTCTGGTGGGATATAACAAAAGCATAAGAATATATCATTTGATTCTGTACCATTCATATCAATTTTTACCCATATTAAGCAATTTTCAATACTTTCAATTAAACTAAGTGTCGTTTTAGCAGCCATATCTGAGTAAAATATGAGAGCCTTTAGAGAGAGCTTATCCAACATTCGCTCAGACTAGAGAGAGAGAGAGAGAGAGAGAGAGAGAGAGAGAGAGAGAGAGAGAGAGAGAGAGAGAGAGAGAGAGAGAGAGAGAGAGAGAGAGAGAGAGAGAGAGAGAGAGAGAGAGAGAGAGAGAGAGAGAGAGAGAGAGAGAGAGAGAGAGAGAGAGAGAGAGAGAGAGAGAGAGAGAGAGAGAGAGAGAGAGAGAGAGAGAGAGAGAGAGAGAGAGAGAGAGAGAGAGAGAGAGAGAGAGAGAGAGAGAGAGAGAGAGAGAGAGAGAGAGAGAGAGAGAGAGAGAGAGAGAGAGAGAGAGAGAGAGAGAGAGAGAGAGAGAGAGAGAGAGAGAGAGAGAGAGAGAGAGAGAGAGAGAGAGAGAGAGAGAGAGAGAGAGAGAGAGAGAGAGAGAGAGAGAGAGAGAGAGAGAGAGAGAGAGAGAGAGAGAGAGAGAGAGATAGTGGTTTGCTTGAGAGAGAGAGAGAGAGAGAGAGAGAGAGAGAGAGAGAGAGAGAGAGAGAGAGAGAGAGAGAGAGGGAGGAAAATGATCTCCGGAATCTATCACCCATCGAACAGAGGGTTCATTTTCAAGCACGGTGGATACTATTTGCATTGGATGATTTCGTGACATGGGTTCGTATGATATGAAGTTAAGGCGAAGAAGTCACAGCGCATGATCATCAAGAAGGAGCAGCTGACAAAACTGTTCACCGTTCTAATACAAAGGGAGAGGATACCATATATTGTCCACAGCCTAGTTAAATACTTAGAAAGATTGTATGATAACGTCCTGTCCGACAAGAAGAGTGATATGGTTGGGGAAAAGTTGACAAATGTCTGAGTAGGATTGATAAATCAGGACTGTCTTGGAAATTCAAGGCTTGTCTGTAGCAGCATGGTAATCTTCCTTGGCTGTATTGGACCCAAATGTTGTATAAGTTACAACTGACACCGGTTGGATCCCTTGAGAGATGTGACAGCAGGAAGTTGCGTGGCTGGAAGTTTCACAGCGGAAGGAATATACAGTAAGACATTCCAACTACAGTTGTCATGGTGGAGAAATTCAAAGTGGTCAAGTGTAGATTGATCATGACACTGAAGGGTTCAAAAGTGAACAAGGTACGGGAAGCTGGGATGGTCAGGGGGATAGGCAACTAACGTCTCGTCTTTACAAATGTTGTGCATACCACATCGAGACTAGACATGTGGTCACAGCAGCGCCAGGTCATCCTGATGGTGTTGACGCTTCTAATGGAGTTCGCACAGTTGCTCTCTTCTATCATGATGCTGGTTAAGAGAATGAATTGTTATTGATGTAGATATTTACAACATATCTTTAGTAATAGCGTCCTGGCTGGAGAGGTAAATTGTGTGATATACGTTTTACCAGATCAGTAAGGACAAGGAGAAAGACAACACTGTCACAGGGCGTGATCAGTTAGAATGTTAAGAAAAGTGAGTTGACAATGCTGATTGTCGCCTGAGCCGGGTTTAACTACATGTATATCATATATTGTTATATTTACTTTTTTTTCTATTTTATTTTAACTTACCGGTATTGATATGGTTACATACTATAAACTCTCCGAACTTTTTCAGCATGGAGACCTATCAGAAGACCTTTAAACGTCACCAATTATTAGCAATCATGAAAAAGGGACAATGGTTTTCAATTAATAAATAAATCAATGAGTAATAGATGATGCATTTTATTTTTTTATCTCCCGATGAAAAAAGAAAGAAAAACATGTAGCTCCGCCCAATTTGATAATAATTTGAAGAATCAATGGCAACACGCCACCTTGCAGCGGGTCTGTTCTAACTCCATGTTTTGTGTGAATATCTGTTAACACATAAAACTGGTGTATATGTCGTCATCATTCAGAAACTACAACATCATAAAATATTCAAATATCTCACAATGTACAGAAACGAGAAAACACGATTAAATAACAATTTATCAGGGGAAAAGATTTTATTTTATATTTTCACACATTTTGAACTTCGGACTGAAAGCAATATTACACCAAAAGACCAAAACATCGTTTACTTATAAATGTTTTGTCCAACAGGGTTCAATCTTGATGGTGTCTTTCGCTTTGCTGGCTTAAATGATATTCTGAAATATGCATTAGATGTGAATCTAGCAAACACCAGCGACGTCTTATCTGTTTAATCAGGATCAGAGAGGCGTGCTGGCGAAATTGATAAATTCTATCGATCAAAACTCTGCCAGACGATAACAACGATATCATAGATTCCGATATTTAAACGTTTAAGTTTCATAATTACTTTGTAACGAAAAGTTTCTCAGGATAAACCCGCACACGATGTCTTGCGCGGGTTATGTATGTGTTTCATTCCTATTTATACATTACAAGGAAAGTGCGTAGATCACTGAAATTGTATTGATTAATTACATCCTGATATTTCGAATAATATAACTGAAATTGATCAATTATTGCTGGGTGATCGACTGGCACAGTTATAAAAGCACTTGCCTTCATCTAGACGTCCGACGTTCGATTCCTGAAATGGACGGGAAAAGTCACGGGGTCAAATACCGACCACGTGGGTTTGCCCCTGAAACTCTGGTTTCCTCCCACAGAAAGGAGTACTACTGGAATTGACAGACAAGTGAACAATGAAGGTGGATCTAAATGGTAGATTGTCTTTCCCGGACATTGTCCAGACAGTTCTCAGACCAGACTGTGATCCAATGAGAGGAAGAAGATGATACTGGCAGAGCTGACTGTACTGTGGAACGAGAAGTTGTGGCCAAGCCAATGTGAGGAAACGTGCCAAGTACGAGGACCTGTTGACAGAGTTTCAGGGACATGGATGGCAGACATGAAACTTTCCTATTGAAGTTGGGTGTAGGGGTTTCCTAGTACATCAGTATGGAGAATGTTCAGCGCACTAGGAGTTATGGGGAAGGAGTATTAGAGGGGCTCTCCCAAGCAGCTGTGCCACCAATTGGATGTGGATGAAGAGAGTGTTCCGAGTTAGGGGTTGAAACATTCCGTGAATGACGGACTCCAACGGATCGGCTTTGCACACTGCCATCAATAGTATATGTAATGTGTAAGTTTCATAGACGACCTAAAAGAAAATTTCATGAACAACACCCCCAGAGTCTCCCGAGAGGGGGGAGGATGAGAGGCTCACTCGGACGGATATATCGGAAACGGTTTTGCCGAGAACACTGACAAGATCACAAAGCCGGATGTTGCAGTTAAAACTTACTGGAGGTGTCTCTACTACAACATGCCCTTGTGAAAAAGTTTGCAAGAATGTTCGGGGACTCCGAATTCACCAGGCAAGGTCGAGCAGTTGCTCTGCAGGTTCCCAGAAGCAACGCACAAAAGAATCTTTTGATGAGACGGAGGAGGTTACCCGTCAGGAGACAAACAACAGTACTGGAGATCTCTTTGCTAATGAGTCACTTCATAGCAATAGCTCTGACTTGAATGGTGTGGAGGAAGACCAGGAAGTTCATGCTACTGAAGATATAACACCACGGAAAGCGAGGGTCAAGTGGCCGAGAATGTCAGATGAGAAAGAATGGAAGATATTTGAGGAAGACCTAGGGGGCATATTAGAGACAACGATGCAGGGAAGTGTAGAAAAGAAGCTGAACATCCTTACAACCATTGCATATAAGTTGGGGAAAGAGAGATTTGATATTGTAGAGCAAAAACCGCCGAGAACTGAACAAACAGAGAACAGGAGAAAAAGAGAAATAAAAAGTATGAGGAGGGAACTGAAGACGCTTAAGCGTAGATTTAGAACAGTCCCAGAGGAAGAAAGGATCGGTCTCCAGCAGATAAGATATACCACCAGAGGTAAACTTAGGAGGCTAAGAAAGGCTGAAAGGCTACGGGCTGGCAGGAAGACCAGGGTTAGGAAAAGAGCACAGTTTGTCAAAGATCCTTTCAAGTTTACGAAAGACCTGTTGGGAGAAGAGCGCTCAGGCCAACTGAAAAGCTCAAAGACAGACAGAACATCATCTGCGGAATACACAATGTGACGAAGAAAGAGCAACACCATTAGGAGACTGCCGAAGGGTTATAGAAGAGGATCCACCAAGTACCCTATTTAAAGTGAGAGAACCCTCGTGGAAGGAGGTGCAGGAAGTAGTTAGGAAAGCGAGATCAAAGTCAGCACCTGGCCCAAGTGGATTAACATATGGTGTGTACAAGAAGTGCCCCAAATTATTGATACGAATGTGGATGCTCCTGAAAAGGATATGGAAGAAAGGATCAGTTCCTGACAAATGGAAGCGAGCAGAAGGTTGTTTTGTTCCAAAAAGAGAAGGATTCGACATCAGTAGAGCAGTTTAGAACCATCTCCTTGCTCAGTGTCGAATGTAATATCTTCTTCTCTGTGATGGCAAGGCGGCTTACGGATTACATGTTAAGCAATCACTACATCGACACGTCAGCCCAGAAGGGACGATACCTGGTTTCTCGGGATGCGTAGAACACACCAGCGTTCTGAGTCAGATGACTCGCGAGGTAAAGGCTGACAAGAGCGACTTGACAATGGTTTGGCTTGACTTGGCAATTGCCTATGGAGGTATCCCCCACAAGCTGATTGTGGTAGCTTTGCATCACTATCACACCCCAGAACATGTTATCAGTATCCTGAAGAAGCATTCTAATGGTATGCAGCTTAGGTTTACCACAAATAACTTTACCACAACCTGGCAGGACTTGGAGAAGGGAATAGTGACCGGATGCACAGTAACACCTATCCTGTTTGTGATGGGAATGAACATCATCATGAAAGTTGCTGATAGAAAGACTAGAGGGCCGAAAATGAACTCAGGAATTTATCAACCATCAAACAGAGGGTTTATAAATGACCTGACGATCACAACAACAACCCATGTTCAGGCACGTTGGACACTATCGGCACTAGACGAAGTGGTCAACTGGGCCCGTATGAAATTTAAACTGAAGAAATCCCGGTGTATGATCATCAAGAAAGGGCGGTTGACAAAGCAGTTCATCATTCGGGTCCAGGGGGAGGAGATACCATCAATCACTGACAACCCAGTGAAATGTCTAGGGAGATGGTACGACAACACCCCGTTTGACAAGAAGAATGTGAGAAAGGTTGAGGAGCAAGTAACTGAATGGCTGAAGAGGATCGACAAGTCAGGACTACAAGGGAAATACAAGGCTTGGCTATATCAACATGGTGTTCTTCCTAGACTGTCTTGGAACCTGATGCTGTATGAGCTACCACTGACAGCAGTTGAAACCTTGGAGAGATGTACCATCAGGAAGTTACGATCGTGGCTGGGAGTACCACCTAGTTTCACGGCAGTTGGCCTGTACAGCAAGACATCTCAGTTGCAGTTACCATTGTCCTCCATCGTGGAAGAATTCAAGGTGGCCAAGTGTAGATTGGTTATGACCCTGAAGGACTTCACAGACATCAAGGTACAGAAAGCTGGTATGGTCACAAAGACAGGCCGGAAATGGTCAGCTGGTGCTACAGTCAGCAAAGCTGAGAGTACGCTGGAGTTACAAGACATCGTGGGAAACATCTATGTTGGTAGACGAGGATTGGGAGTCGATCACTTTCAGCAGTGGAGCAAAGCAGAAGGCAAGGAAAAGAGAGACAGAATTGTATCTGTGGTGAGAACAGAGGAGGAACAGCAACGCAAAAGTAGAGCAGTTGAGTTAGGACAGCAAGGATCATTGACGCGGTGGAATCTTCCTGAACGCAAGATTACATAGACAGACTTGTGGAAAATGGAACCTCTCAGGATATCATTCATGCTCAGGTCTGTGTATGACACGCTGCCATCTCCAAGAAACTTGTGTAGGTGGGGTCTTCTGGAAGATCCAGCTTGTTCCTTGTGCGGTGGAAGAGGCACACTTGCACATATCCTATCAGGCTGTAGAGTAGCCCCCCCCCCCCCCCCACCCCCACCCCCCACCCCACCCCAGCAGGGACGGTACAGATGGCGTCATGACCAGGTTCTAGCTGCCCTAGCAGATATTCTGGAAAAGGAGCGGCGACAGAAGAGGTCAATGATAGAACCTCATAAACCTCACATGCAGTTTGTGAGAGCTGGAGAGAAGGGGCCACCAACTGCTACTGCATATCGTGTGAATGTACTCGGCCAAGCACCATCCTGGGAAATGAGAGTAGACCTCAACAAGCGTTTCGTCTTTTCTGATGTAGTGCAAACCACTCTGAGACCAGACATTGTGCTATGGTCGCAACAGCGCCAGAAGGTCATCTTGGTGGAGCTGACAGTTCCATGGGAAGAAGGGTGTGATGAGGCACATGAGAAGAAAGCTGGCAAATACCAAGAGCTATTAGAGCTGTGCAGACATAAGGGGTGGAACACATGGCTGTTTCCAGTAGAGGTCGGTGCCAGAGGATTCCCTGCACAGTCAGTATGGAATATGTTCAAGAAATTGGGACTGACAGGAGCAAAGAGGAAAGCAGCTATTAAGACATTGGCTGAAAGGGCTGAGAGAGCATCATGCTGGCTATGGTGTAGACGAGATGAGCCAAACTGGAGCCCAGACAAGAGCAAGCAGTGGTTGATCACCACTGCTGACCCGCCAACCAGAGAACGTCGTGGAATAGGGGTCGAAACGGCCGATGATGGTTGGAATCCACCTGACGATGCTGACAACAGAAAGCTCCATGTCATCAGTGCCTAACCGAAGCAGCGGTTGGGTTATAATTAGCAGAGACATCTGTAAGTTCACATATGTTTTACAAAATTAGCAAAATTTAACACCTGGCTGATACCTTAAGCTCTTCTTTTACCTTTACTCTCAGAAATTTTACAATATAACATTCGAAATGCCAAAGATTATCGACTCCGAAAATTCGTCCGTATTTCACTTTACACTCCTACTATTGAACAAATTAGACAATGAAATCTAACAAATAGTATCCTTTTCAGAATTTCTAGCACTGTAAATCAAGATTTATCCCATGCAATTTTCATGAAAGATAGACATTATCAGCGTAAACATTCTGTTAAAGATGTTTTCACTCCTACAGTAAGAACCCTCACGCGCTTCAATCCTGGCCAACAAGGGTGATTAATATAAGTTGGAAAAACATGCTTCGCCTTTATTGTAAAATAGATAAAGTTTATAAAGAAATGTACAATTCTGGATGCTTTGTATCATAATGTTTTTAATTACAATTTACTGAAATGCGAATATTATTTTTCAGTTTCCTTTGTTTGTTGCTGTGAGCTAGGGAAAAATAAAAGAGATGCAGGAAATCAGAGAAAGCTTTCATCTTTTCAATCTTTTAGTACTTCATGCATTAATAAGGCTTAATGCCAGAAACTACATTCTATATATATCAACAATAACATGTCCATAATGTTTTTTTTTACTGTATTATATATTGGGATATACGCAGAGAGGAGTACAGATGAGAGATAGGGATATAAAGCGGTTTGAGTGAAGCCAGGTAGAAGGCAAATTAGAGAAGACTGTAATAAAGTAAGCTGTTTGCAGATGATCTTACGAAGAAGGACGATTTTCATAAAAAAAGGAAGATTGGGTGACAACATAGTTTTCTGGAATACAATACACATACATAATAAAAGCAATGCACTACATTCCTTAACTTACATGCTGAATACTCCAAATAAAGTGAAACAGACACTCCCTAAAAACAAGTGAATGTTAATCACCAAGGTGCACGCTTTTAACTGTCTGATTCATGACTTCACTGAAGCGTATAGTTTTTAAGTTGCTTCAATACAAATAAAGACAAGATTTAACAAAACACATGTCGACATATCAACATACACCACTGACTTAAATCTTTGTGGTGTTACGTTATTATCGTTGCCGTTGTCGTCGGCGTCGTCGTATTCTGCGTCTTCTAATGTACATCATTACATCGTCATCATCAGGTGGTCTCCTGGTGGCGCAGTGTTGACACACTCGTCTTTAACTAGGCCGTCCGGGGTTGGATTCCGTGCATGTATATGAATTTTGTCTTGTTTCCTCCCAATGTAAGACTCCGCGCGCTTACAACTAAAGGGATTAGTATAGATTAAAATTTCAAATAGAATTCTTTATTCTGCTGTTTTAAATTTTAGATTCTTGACTACATTCACATATAAACATTGTACATTGTGGCTGTGTATACATAATGTATTGATTGGGCCCTTAGGCCAAAAGATGACAGAATTCAATGAAACTGAAATGACTATTAATTATTTCTCATCGATAAATTAGTAGATTTGATACCAATTACCAGAAATATGATATTTTCTTAACCAGTAATGACATACTTTTTTCTCTTTCTTTCTAATACTCTGGTTTTATTCTAGGTACTTCTTCTCTTTATTTCAAATATTCTAGTTCTATTTCAGGGACATTTTTTCTCTTTATTTCAAATATTACTGAATGAAGTCAAACTTAATTATTTAGTATTTTTCACCAAATAATATTTATACATTTAGATTAATAAGCGAAACACAGGTAAATCTCAAGTAAAAACCAAGTTAAGAAAAGGACAGCTTATCTGAAACAGTATATAATTGTCTTGACGCTGTTTCCTAAAACAACACCATCCTATTGTTTGAATAAATGTTGACATAATAAATTAATTGATCAGTAAGCATCGTCCCTTTACTACAAGTTTAGGCGTTACAATGAACAAGGATGGGACATCTAGATTAATTAATCAATATATAATAACATGTTTAAGTTGTGTACAGACACTTTTATTTGCAGAATAACTTGTTTGTCAGCTTTATCTCATCTGCTGTAAGGTCGAATGGCCGTAATAGCGCACATTAAACCTGTTAAACAAAGTCACCCTTATCTCTTTGAAAGGCTGAAAGGCAATAACGTATTTTTTTGTATATTGGAATGTTGTTAATATTGATCTTACTGAAAAAAGAGCTGTTTGTTTATTTAATTAATACAATGATTAAATAAAGCCTTCGATAAAATAAAACTGTTTATAGACTTTGAATTAGATTTTGGAATTGATCACATTTCTGATAAAAATGTGCAAAAATAAATTTTTCTATCAGAGTTACAGAGGTTGTAAAGAGGGCTTCTTTTGTCGTGCTTTAAAAAAAACTTTTACGGCTCTGTAAGGCCTTTTTATATTGGATAATTGTAATGATCTTTTACTCATGAAATCTGACGCTAGCTGAAAGATGAAGGCCATCTTCCATGTTGGGGCAGATGATTGGCATTGGCATCAGAAGCTTCGTGCACAAGCACTGAATAGTATCTATCGCACAACTGTGCGACAGGATCGTATATTGTGCGCGGTTTGGTTAAAATGGTTAGCTAATATCAAATTAAAAGAATACTCGTGTAGTTATGACTAAGTAGCTATCATAAGCGTTTTGAAATTGAACGGTGATTATAAAAGTCATTCTTAATTTGACAATTTACGAAAAAACACCGGACCCTGCCTTAATTAGTATTTCATTCGTATAGTTTCACACCTCAGTGAATGCCGTGTGGTGTGCCTCGGGACAAAAAATACCTGCATACGGTTATATACGTAACAGGTCCGGATCCGTACTAGCAACATACCTCATGTAACTAACACACCACTTTACCTGATTACATAATTTTAGTTTTTACAAAATGATAGAAAAATGGGACTGATGTAGAGGAAATAAAAATAAAAAGTTCCTTTCAGACGATGTGAAATTTTAAATGAATCATTGTTGAGACAAGAAGAGACGTCCATTTAATGTTTACATACCTTGTCTACAATGCATGAAATAATGATTGTGGCACTTTGTAAACATAACGCTTTGGATTACGTGAGTATATAATTATTCAGGTTGTATCTAATAGATCTACAAGTGTTCAACCTATAGATTTATGACTATATCAGAAAATAAAAGTAGTTGTACTCACACATATCTACATGTATGTAATTTCTAAATATATTTCAACCGCGATAGAATCGCACGTCTGTGCGATAGAATCACACAACATGCGCAAAGATGTTCGATAGCTTATTTCGTTCAGTTTTCCTATCGTGTGCATCTAGTGCAGACATTGTGTGACATATTCCTATTCACTTTTCTCTGATTCAGTTTGTTGGTAATGTCAGAATGATGAGAAAGACAATAACCATTGCCGTACGTGTTATTCTCAATCTAGGGAATAACTTCAATTATAATGTCACTTCTAAAATAAGTCAAATTGTATTTTTCTTTTACTTTTGCTTGATAATTGTATACAGAATAATAAAAACCTACTGACAACATTAGATGAGTCGTTCGTTCGAAGCTTCTACGTGATTTCTGTTGTTATATCGATCTACTTTAGTGAACAGATACCTTCGTGTTTCAGGTACGTACACTACGATTCAATATAAACATTAATTTAGACAGATAATCCATGAAGAGATTTCATATGCTTCGACTTACAATTGTGACCAAAATCAATGGCTGAAAGAATCATTTTTGAGATCTAAGAACATGTGAATAACCGTTTTGGGGGAAAAGAAAGATTTACACGTCCACCCCTGAAAAAAGTATATGGATAACAAAACCAGATGTTGCTGAAGAGTAAGCGTCTTCTGTTTCATTAACGACACCCACCTTGTAAACCTTGGTCAATCCAGATACACTGTTAAATAATATCACGTTTTCAAATAAGAAAGACAATGAATGAACCAACAGGCAAAGTAACGAAAATAACACGCCCAGCTTCATATCGCCGAAGAAACGGAATGTTCTTAATGAGATCATTATGACGAC